TGGTCAGAGTCCGGTCACAACTTAACGGCTCAGTGACGGGGAGAATTGACCGGAGTGTCCGATCACCTTGACCGGAGCGTCCGGACACCCCGCAGTGTGGTGACTCAAGCACATAACGGTTCATTTTGAATGAGGGGGTATAAATACTTCCTCTATTCATTCAAGGCAGTACTCTTACCCATTTCAACAGCTGAGAAACACCCTTGAGAGTGCCAAGGAGAGTAAGAGCCTAGTGAGGTGATTGAGATTTGAGAATCCAAGATTAAGGCCTCATTAGTGAAAGGAGAGTAGCAAGTGTGCATCCACCCTTCTCATTAGGCTTGTTGTGGTCAAGTGAGAGTTCTTGCTTATTACTCTTGGTGATCGCCATCACCTAGATGGCTTGATGGTGATTGGGAGTTTGGTGGTCATCCGGCGGAGCTTGTGGATGACCCAACTCAAGTTGTGAGCGGTTGTGGGTGATTCACTAAGACGGGGTGTCGAAGAATCAACCCATAGAGAGCACTTGATCCTTGCGCGGATTAAGGCGGAGCTACACTCCTGCGCGGGTGCTCCAACGAGGACTAGTGGGGAGTGGTGACTCTCCGATACCTCGGCAAAACATCGCCGCATTCTTTCTCCTCTCTTTACTTTGAGCATTTACTTTTGAGCAATTCAATTCTTGTCTTTACATTCTTAGAATTGCCATGCTAGAGTAGGATTGAAACTTAGGGTGCTAAACTTTTGTACGGTAGATCATTAGAATCACTTTCTAGGAATAAGGGGTGAAGTGGGCTAAGTGTATGGTTTAATTATTGCAAAGAATTTTAGAATTAGCCCAATTCATCCCCCCTCTTGGGCATCTTGATCTTTTCAGAGGGAACGGTACCGGCGGAGGAAAGTTGCGTCGGTGATGAAGCAACGGAAGGAGGTGGAAGCGGTAGAGGCGCGGACGAGGTCGGTGGGGGAGGCGACACGGAGAAGGATCTCTTCTAGGAGATCGTCGGCAAGGGTGGCTGGCCGCCTAGGCGATGCCGACGCCGGGGCCTCGAGGTGGCGCATTACTGACACCGTAGATAGAATCTGTCGGCGCGGGCACCTCAGCCGGCTCCGGCGACGAGAGGAACAGGAACGAGAGGAACGGGGCTTTGCCGGGGCCGACTGAAAGGGGAAAGCCAAACCCTTAACTTGGCATTTGGATACAGGGCAAAGTTGGACGCTGGACTGGAGTAATCATCGTGTTGGGCCGGCTTTGTGCTCATCCATCATCCGAGATTATGCAATTTGGCCCACTATGGAACAACACTTCCCCAAAAGCCGGAATGGACCTATGGTCCGGTTCAAATCTGGTCCATCTCTTTTAGGTTGCTCATTTTTTTTGCGACGAAAGAAGAATTATATTAGATACAAGCACTATGGATTATACAAATATCCAGAAAATGATTTTCATCTAATTGTACCCATGCTGTGAATAGTTTCAGATCTCAAAACCAAACCTGTACCACGCTTTGCAGTATGGATGACCGCATAGACAAACACTCAGCAAAAGGCCTGAGAAGATATGCCTAATGAACGTCAGCCAACATCATGCTTTGCATTTTTAACCCTACAACTGTGATGGGACTTCAAATTTGCTGATCCTATACACCGAGGCGGTTAAAAAGAACGGTAAGGCTAGCACCCGGACGTCCAGCCCCATGCCCGCGTCCGGACGCAGCTCCCGTGCTCGCATTGCATCCCACACGCTCTGTCACATTCACAACCAGCGCCAGCTCTAGAATCGCGGGTCGCGCCCATCCTGCGCCCTGCCCTGCAGAACCGCGCCCCGCGCCCATCCCGCGTCCACACGGTGGAACCGCGACCCGTGCTCACCAGCCCCGCTTTGTGGAGGCGCGCTGTGGAGGTGCCTGTAGGCCTCAAGCGCCGGCACGTGAACCACGGCGGCGCACCAGCAACAACATGCGGATAGTGGCCTGCAACACAAGATTTACTTTTGAAACATCTAGATAAAACATTTGCAACATATGTCTGAAAACATAAGAAACACTTGAAACATGCGTTTGAAACATGCATGTATAGCCATTACAACATGTGCAATACTAGATCAACTTTTGAAACATCCAGATGAAACAATTGAAACAAACGTCTGAAACACTTAAAACACTTAAAACATATGTTTACAACATGCGTATATTGTCATTGCAACATATGCAACACCCCAGATCGACTTTTTCAACATTGAGATGAAAGACTTAAAACATAAGATGAAAACACCTGGAACACGTCAAACTCGGCGTCATCGGCAGCCATGGCCTACCTGGTGGGGGACTGCAGTAACTAGCAAGCTCAGGTCCAGAGGGAACATCGAGAGCGAACGCAGGCCTCCCCTTCCTACCGCAGGAGACGAAGTCCGGACCGGCGGCAACCTCCTCCTGGTGGCACCGGGGTGGTGGTGGCATGGCGCCCGCCATGGCAACGAAGACACGAGGTGGCGGGGGCGCGCCAGTGGATAGGGGTGAGGCGCGGGATGGTGGTGCGGCACGGCCGGCGATGGGGTGCGGCACGGCAGGGGGAAGGGTACTGCGCGCGGTGGGTGAAGGGAGCGGTGTGGCGGCGGGTACGCGGTGATGCCCCCAACAGCCAGATGCGATTGAGATGGGGAAGAGCATGTCTGTTGGGCTATCCGCTGAGCAGGCCCATAAAGACAGCGTCCTCATTGGGGCGGACGTACGTGGCCAAGTATTAGCGTATAACGAAACTGACGCCCAAATTTGCAGATTCCACGGCTCAAATACTGCATTGTCGCCTTGTATATACGACATAGGCCCTGCCTCTCAGCTCAACAATTCGCAGGCGAAGTGCTGAAGTGTGCCTTTGTTGTGTAGACATGAGCATTGCCAGATTGTCGCAGCTAAATCTGAGAGCATAGTCGTGGTGGTTTATGAGCGTTGCACAGATACGAGGTAAGGAGCTTCCTTAAACTTTTCGTTTTATTATTAACTCACACACAAAAAGAGTGTGCATGACAGAAATTTGGCAGAACTGAACATTCAGAACAACATCCTTCGCCCAATTCGTCACTGAAAAACTGACTTTTGCTCTCATTTTTTTCACCCTATTTCACAGCCTCCCTCTTGGAGACAGTACGCATATAGATACAGATGGATCATCGTAACAACAATAAACAGCTTTTCATCCATACTGATTTAAATACGAATCGGTTTGAAGCAAAACTCCACACGGCTGCAGAAAGGCTGATGAACACGCCAATTCCCCCCTGTTCGTTTGTCATACGCTAAGCACGTCCCTGAGATGGAATATACATCCCTGGCTAGGCTAATGTTTCAACTTTCAAGGGCATCATCATCCTTGGCCGTTGGCACAGATGTGGTAGAGTCGTAGAGCCAAGAACCGTGAATAGTGCTAAAGTCAGGGACACCATTTCATTAGACACCAGCTATTGGGAAGTAACCCTTTTGACATTTTATAGGAATGTGGCGGTTGTTGCTGGATCTAGAATTTTTTTTCATAGGGTATTCCGCAACAGTTGGCCTACGAAAAGACGACATGTTCAACAGATAAGTGTCGTGGAAATGCGTATGTTGCATTGGATTTGCGGACATACAAGAAGGAATCGAGTTCACAACGATGATATACGTGATAGATTATGGGTAGCACCAATTGAAGAAAAGCTTGTCCAACACCTGTTGAGATGGTTTGGACATGTCCAACGGAGACGTCCAGAGGCACCGGTGCGTAGTGGAATTCTAAGCCCGGATAATAACGTGAAGAGAGGCAGAAAAAGACTGAAGTTGACTTGGGTAGAGGCAATAAAAGGAGACTTGAAAGGATGGATATATCCAAAGACTTAGCCTTAGATATGAGTGCTTGGAAAACAGCTATTCACGTGCCTGAACCTTGATTGCTTCTGCCGTGTTTCAACTCTAGCCTACCCTAAGTTGTTTGGGACTTAAAGGCTTTGATGTTGTTGTTGTTGTTGTAGGGTATTCCGCACCAGGCTTTTACATATAATTTGGTAAAATCCATTAGCAATTGGGTTATGACATAGAATTTTCCTACGGGGTATGTGGCACCAAAACTTTCTTGTGCAATCCAATAAACCCATTTAGTAATTCGGTATACAATAGTAGAATTTATCCTATAACACCGGTATATACATACAAGTACAATATAACAATTAAGTATTTCTTAAAATTCAACAATTAAGTTCAAAATTGCATAAGCATCTGCAGCTTGTATTTTCAGAGCAGCTACAGCTTGGTAAGCTGTAAACCACATCAGACCGAACGACGGCTAGATTCCGACAAACATCAATAAACTATGTGCTATCCAAAAATGCACCTAGCAAGTGCAAGCATAGTCGTCTGCATCCATCCACGACAGCAGTATGGGTCCGAAGAAGTCACGACTCATGACCTTGGAGGAGATTTTAATCCTGCAAATGGATGAAGTCACAACTTAACTTAAAAAAAGATAAGGCAGTTCGAAGGGCGGATGTGACAGCTTAGTACTCTTAAACGATCTTTGCAGAAATTTCTTGATAGAGCAAGTAAAGTTTAACGAGCCAACCGCATCAGGTCCAATGAAATTTATGCCGTACAATACCCTATTAGCTATACAATTTTTTTTTTATGAAACTGGAGGGGTTTTTATTCAAAGCAAAACAGAGCAAAATACAGCTACTTATGCATGTCCAAATGCTCATGGATAAACAATTTTTCTTAGGCGATCTCACTGAAATATTTATTCTTGAAATTTATTACTATAGTTTTTCTTCTTTTGCTACAAAATCCAACACGGCATGGAACCCACTGCTGAACCACCACAAAGGGAGGGGAACTGGGGAATATAAACAAATGACTTCCTAACTGTGATTTTAACAACAGAGAATAGCTAAGCACTTCACAATATGTTAATATGTCGAGCAACTTGTGGAATCGCACACCCCTCCTCAATGGTCAAAAGGTTGAGAAGAGTTAAGATGGAGAAGCAAAACAAGCTTAATAGTAATATAAACTTATTCCCGAAGCAGGGCACATGTCAGCATCTGAAAGCAAAAAATTGAGGAAGCCAGTGAAGGCAATGATCAAATGCTTACCACTTGGTATCACTTTCGGTGACATGGGTGGTGGGTACCCGAAATACGGGTGCAGGACGCCAATTCGGGGAATTGCGGAACATACCCTCTCAATCTTCAAATTCTTAACCTCGAGGGATAAACGCACTGCAGGACCTAGTCCTCGGAATTTTGGAAAGCCTAATAGGAAAATGTATCCGTCTGCTGCACCACAAATCTCATACCGACGATTGGGGGGGAAGTGGGATTATAGTCATCATCTGCAACTCCTTGTCCCTGTCGCTCTTGGTTTGCATAATGCTGGTGTAATAATCCACATAAGTTTCTTCAGAAGAGCGTGGGTGGCTAAACAACGCAAGTCTTCCTTCACCTGCCTCCGCAATGACAATATAGCGATAGCGCTCGTGGTGGCCAGGCGGGAGGTCATATGTGGAGAGCTCCATTGTGTCATGTTAAGCTTGAGCAACTTGTCCTTCTTCTCCACTTTCCAGAAGAAACAGCCATGAGCAAGACGGGGCTGTTTCAGCATCTTTCTGTCTGGTGGTACATTAAGAGTATCCAAATTTGTAGACGTACCGAGACTCCAGCGGCCAGAGCTCGAGGAGAAGACAAATACCGCCAGCTTTGCCATGCAATCCGTCATGGCCATGCTTATCAGTTATCACTCTGAACGATCTCTCATCCTCCTCTTTTGTAGAAGAAGGGACAAGGAAGGCCTCGAAGCATGGAATGTTATATCGCTAAACCTGAACGGAGGCGAGTAGGTCGTCCGGAATGCGAGGTAGCAGCAGGCGCCGCCTGGACAAGGGGTCGCACACCGCGAGCTCCGGCAACCAGTCCAAGGCGTTGAATTTGAATCCCAGCGGTGTGCACTTGAGGAGGACGCGGCCGTCGCGGAGGTCACAGATCACCCAGGGCCAGATGCGGTACAACGCTTGGCGGCGAGGGAGGCGGTCCTCGAAGGAGAAGCTCGCGGCGCGGAAGAGAGCGCGGGCGGCAGGAGCGTTGGGGTGGGGCGCCTGGGCCGTCTGGAAGGTTTTGGTGTCAAGGAAGCCGAGGAGTAGCGGAGGGTGGAGGGAGCGGTAACGGCGGAAGAAGGAGGGTTCGGTGACGAGGCGGCGGAATGTGACGCATGCGGCGGAGGCGCGGATGACGTCGGCGGGGAAGCCGATCCGCAGGAGGATCTCCCGGAGGAGATCGTCGCCGAGACCCAGAAGCTCCGGACCCGGCGCCTTGGCTTGGAATAGCCGGAGGATCGAACGGAACAGCGACGCCATTGACGGCAAGCCACCCGCCCTCCAGTCCGGCGAAGGGCGAAAGGGGATCGAGGGCTTTGGGCAGTTTGTTGGGAATTTTACATATTTACCATTATTAAAATCATCATTCATCCGTTTCTCATCCTTACGATGGCTTTTACAGATTTACCATCTTTAAAAATCGTGTGTCTTCGATTTGCCGCATTTGCTCGTCTGGCACGCCACGGCGACATGACACAGTCGGCAGTGCCTTATAAAAAGACTTGACTGCCCCTGCCCATTTGCTCGCCCGCTCAAAGTCAGAGAACTGTCATGTTGTCTGTATTTGAATAAATCATATGACAATAAAAAAAATAAGAACATTCTGACCATGCTAATTAAGAGAGGCAAACTGTGGCCATCTAAAATAAGAGAGGCACATTATGTCCATGCAAAGTAACAGAGGCACATTACATAGTATCACATATGACAACCAAATAAGATAGGCACATTAGCTATGGAAAAATTAAGATCGCTATATAAAGTACTTGTTTCTGACAACCAAATAGGGGCACATTGTGGCCATACATATAGAGTTTTTGGCCTTTACCCATTACACACGACAGCATGCTGATAATTATGCCCATTTGATTACAATAGAAGGCTATGCAAAATAAAAGTTCTGGCCAATTACACATATTATCAAAAGTTCAAGCTCTTAGCAAAATAAAAAGCAATGTTCCGGTTCATTTTAAGTTCCTAGTTCATCCTTAGTTCTTCCTCACTTTCTTTGCCAACTTCTTCTTTCTAGGTGTTATTTTCTTGACAGGCTCAATTTGCAGTTCATCTTCTGAGAATATGTTCCTGTTCAAAACAATAAAAGTCATGGTACAGCAAGGGACATGAACTCCTAGTGGCTAAATCCTCATGAAACAAAGCTAGGGTATACTCACTGTTCCTATCAAACCATAAGTCGTGTTGCTGCTCTGCCATCTCGACTAGGCCATACTGACCATTAGCAATATATTTAGCAACTTTAACAACTAGTCTAAATGCAGAGCCAGGATCGATCCCGGCATAATCAACCACAATGAACGAAATACAGAGTCGGAGAGTATCCAACCCACTGCACAGCTTAAGTTGGTAACACTTACCAAGGCGGGCAGTCACTGCTTGCCATTGTGACCTCGATTGATCGACGCCACCTACTACATCAGAATCCTACGAAGCAAAAAATGGATGGAGATAAAGTGAGCAACCATTAGTGGCGGAGCCAGAACCAAAATATGGGGGATGAAAAGCAGCAGCCAGCTCAGACTTGTTCAGAGCTTATGGCGAGGCAGTGATAGCAGCCATCATCATATGATTTTTTATCTGTATGTATATTGATAGATGCTAACTTGCATTTTTTTCTGATAGCTCATGAATGGGGGGGGGGAATGTAAAAAAAATCAGACACATATTCCTAATGATACATAGTATTTTCTATAATTTACGTATATTTTTTAGCTAACGTACGGATCACTAGAAAAAATTATGAAGTAAATTAAAAAATGAACACGGATGTACACAACCAATCACTAGCTTCTCGTTTCTATGCGCACGTGACCTAAAAAGAGATTGCGGGCTTGCGGACGCCACGTCAAAGGACGCACTCACGTCTGTATTGAATCGGCCGCCCCCGTAAGCCCGCTGAACGAGGACGCTTGGCGCTTGCTGATGACGCAGAGAGGGCGCCGCTCGCCATGCGTACACCCATGAACCCTAACCCTAAATGCCGTGGAATGTGGGTGCAAAGGGCGGCGGCAGGGCCACGTACCTTCGATCCGTCATAGCAGCAGCTGGCGGCCCGTGGCTCGAGGGGACGAGCGGAGGGGGCAGCGTGTGGCGGCGCGGCGAAGCTAGCTAGAAGAAGGGGACCGAGAAGAAGCAGGCGGCGACGGTGTTCACGGGGGAAGAAGAGAACGCGTCGGGCATCGGCGTTGCCCGCACGAGAAAATGGGCGAGCGAGCGACTGGCCCGGCCCGTTTTCCCTTCTTCCAAATAGCCAGGGGCAGGCAGGTCATTTTGCTGCGCCCTGCTGACTATGCGCCACCGTGTCATGTCGCCGTGGCGTGCCAGACGAGCAAATGTGGTAAAACGAAGACGCACGATTTTTAAAGATGGTAAATCTGTAAGAGCTATCGTAAGGATAAGAAACGGATGAGTGGTGATCTTAATAATGGTAAATATGTAAAATTCCCCAGTTTCCTTGGGGGTTTGGGTGCAGGAGCGATTGGGTCGGGCCGTTTGGGCCCTGGGGGTGCTTGACCAAGCGTGAGTGGCAGGTGACCAGCGTGTGTGTATTGGGCTGGGCCGTCGTGTGGGTCTGGCTGCCCCATTGCAATCTTGAGAAGCAACCCCGTGACCCCGTCGCGCCGCACTCTCCTCCCCTCCGATTCTCCGGTGACTCGGCATCGGAATGGCGGCGGCGGCTCGTGCCGGGTTCCGGCGGCTATTCTCCGTCTCGGCCTTCGCTGCACCGCCTCCACCCGCCGCGCGCCCTGCGGCGGAGCCCTGCAACAACCTCTTCGTCTCAGGCAACCAACCTCGCTCCAATTTTTTTCCCCTTTTTGCATGTTTTGCAAGAGAAACCCTCGCTTTGATTCTTATGCGGCGCGCTTTATTGGTTGATTGTTGTGCTAGCAGGCGGTGGATGTCTGCGGTACGATTATGAATGGGCGAAGTTGTTTACTTTTGTCTGAGACCTGCGAGCCAGTAGTCACTTCCAATTTTGATAGGGCTGGCTGATGAACTAAACAGTCTAAACTGATACTAGTTGTAATCGAACAGTATTTATCTTGCGAACTAAATCGATTTGCTCTATTCTGAAACTACCCACTCTGAACAAGAGAAGTACTGCACGAGCGCATATAGACTGATTGTCGACTAGTTAACCTTTTATAAAGTATAAGCCCAAGTATTGGTAAACTTGGAAGCAGAACACATCGCAGATGCCAGTGATTAGTGCTGGTTTGAGTAGTCAACTTTCCTATATGGAAGAAAGGTGGAGCTAAAAGTTATTTCAAGGTTCGGTGCATTAGTAGCTTCCTACAATTTTTCATTTTTGTCAATAGTTCATCCCATTATCTGTGTCAAATAGTCAGTCTCTTCATTGAAGGAAAAAATCAGCGATATCTGAATCCGAGAAATAACCCTTCTGAAGTTTGATTATTTTTTCTCCATAAAGTTATTACTATGCAAATATAAATAACACCACCAAAACAATAAATAATCATATACAAATATAGTTCCACAGAGGTTTTCAAAATTTAAGGTGTATTGTCTTATCATTGATTAATATTGGTTCACTGTTTGTTATCATCACAGCACGCACTGATCATGTGTGAAACTAGGAATGTGGGTATATAATATGCTAGTAGTAACAGAGGCATCTATGCAGGGTTAAATAAGCGCACAACATCCGAGGGACTTAAGGAAGCATTTTTGAAATTTGGTCAGGTTATTGAAGGTATATATTGAATTATTGCTCAGCTTTTTCTTCAAGTGCTGATTCCATATATCGATGTGATGAAGCAACACTGTGTATGCAGCAAGAGTAATCACTGATAGAATATCTGGATACTCCAGAGGATTTGGCTTTGTCAAATATGCGACTGTACAAGAAGCTGGTGAGGCCATAAAAGGCATGGATGGAAAGGTGAGTGCACGTGGTTGATTGCAGTTAGTTTTCCAAGTTCACTGTTTTATTCATGAAAGACGTTAACCACATTGAATGTTGCTCCTAAATGTAGAGGACATCAGAAATATAAACATGTCAAAATCATTTTTTCATGACAATCAAAGAACAAGTGATGACTCATTGATCTTTTCGAATGTATACCCTGTTAGCTGATGTATAATGTCTGACGTTTTATTTTTGGACGCATTGTGTATTCAGCCTTTCTTTAGTTCTCCTCACACAACTGTATCTTCCTGCAGTTCCTTGATGGTTGGGTTATTTTTGCTGAGTATGCCAAGCAAAGAGAGGCCACACAGCCGTCACAACAAGCAGCACCCTATGAATAGCTATATTGACTGAAGTTGCCATGCACAGTCGAATACATACACTGTATTCCTTTTTTTCAGCCGAGTGTAATAGTGGATGTTGCTTGCCATCCAAATATTTGCAGAGAGAATGTAGCTTGCTGTGCTCCACTTGAACTGCCTTTGTTGTGGTTAACATTGTACTTGGCTACTGCAACTTCATGTGTGCCGCATAACTTTCCTCTTTAATTTACAGGTCACTGCATTTTTTGGCCACTGTGTTGCAAGGAGCTTACACTGCAGAAATGCAATGCGTTCTTGGCTCTTGCCCGCAGTATGGGGGCTGTTTGGTTGCAACCTTGGCCTGGAGGCTGCTGGCCAGGGAGGTTGATCACTTGATCCCACCCAGGTGTTGAAAATCCGCTAAAGAACGTTGTCTTGGCCAGGCAGTTTTCCCAGATCAACAAGCAAACAAGCCCTATATATATGCGCCGTCTCCTCTTCTGGCTTCTGCCGTCTACAAATAAATTGGCGCGCCTGAGAAGTCTAATCTGCATGAGAACAACTAAAATTTATGTTATGTTGTCTAAAATTCCACCTGAAATTTTATGTTATGTTATTGCCTTCATGTGCACGCGCGTGCGAAAGCACCTAAAAAAAGCTTGAAACTTCGTTGTCCCTTTGTTCTATAAATTATAAAACGTTTGACTTTGTCTAAATATAATGTTTTTACTATTTATCTAGATATAATATTATTTAAGTACATATAGAAAGATCTAGAAAAGCCAGAACTTTTGAAGAGATGACCTAAATTTACGCTATGCACACTGACAATAACATAACTTAATATTACTACTTTGAACGGCATTTTTCAAACATTTTAGGGCTCCTTTGGATAGAGAGTTGGAAAAGGCACGTGGGTTTGATCCCCAATGGGATTACCTTCCATGAACTTGCCCCCCCTCCCGCTGGGTGAGGGAAACCCCATCAGAAGAAAATTATTATCTATACCATTTGGGCAACGTACAGCCGCGCGAGAGAGGGACAGCTGAGGCCGCGCGAGAGAGGGACAGCTGAGGCCGCGCGAGAGAACGAGAATGGAAAGAAAAACACGAGGTGGTAGGCGTTTTTTCTGACACCCGTGGATCGACGAGGAAGGACTGAAAAGGCACGTGTTTTTTTTTTGCCCTGCATCGTATCCAAAGGGGCACCTAGGTTGGAAGGGGGAGCAGAATCGCGGGCTTCATTCTCCCCGAGGTTGGGGCTGGTATCCCCGCGGGTATCAGCGTACCCAAAGGAGCCCTTATGGTACTTCGGTATGCTTTAGCAGGAATGTTGCTCATATATATAGTTACACAATAGTGGTTAGAAAATGGGCCTTCCAGGCCCACGTGATATCATTCCATAATTGTCACACATTAATAGGTATCATAAGAGCATCTCCAAGAGTTCTCAATAGTTTTTCCCCCACAACCATAGTGTTTTTAACTCTAAAAAAGTTTTGGAAGGAATAATTAATACCATCTCCAATAGTTTTCAATAATTCACTTACAAAATATCAAAATTATGGACCCATGGATATTTTTTCGTTGCGGCAGTCTTTTTTTCTCGCACGTGATCGATACCTTGGTCGCATTGACCGCCTCGTCGTCCGGCCGGCCGCAAGCCTTGCCGCCACCGAACGTGACTCGTCCGCCGTCACCGGCGGATCACCTCAACGTCTAGAGCCCCGCTCTGCTGCCGACACTCGCGATGCCTCCTCTGGCTCCGCCACACGGCAAGAATAAGAGCAGCTCCGTCAGCAGGCAGCGGCAGAGGTGGCTGCGGCCCCGACTCAGCAGCGGTCGGCGTCGTTCCACGAGCGCGGGACGGAGCAGAGGCCCAAGATGATGCCTGACCTGCTCGCCGGTGTCAGGGGAGTGAGCTTTCGTTCAGGGTCCCCGCCCCCGGACGGTGACACGGGGGAGGAGGATGAGGAGGAGGCCGAGCAAAGTTCTGGACTTGTGGTGAGCGTGGCGGTGCAGCAGAGCATGTGGCCGCTGCACGTCACGGCGTCCGCCTGGTGGACCGCGGCGGACATGGGGACGAACCAATCAATCTACACTAGGGCAGGAGGAGATTGAGGGAAAAGTCGCGCCCAGGAAGTGGATACGTGCGTCGGCGTTCCGCGGATATTTAGGCTTTCGCATTCGACGATTGTTTCACAAGTGCAAAAAAAAGAGGTGGAATTGGAACTGTTGGAGATGCATTTTTTTTAATCTTTTTAAAGACTTGAATTGAAGGGCTGCTGCCTTGTTCTGTTATGTGTGATTGTTTGACTTTTATTGTGTCATTATGAGCTGCTGCTGCAGTTTGAATTGAAAGTTGTATTATTGTGCTAAGCTCTGCTTGCTGTCATAATGTGTAGTTTGTTTTATATATTGTTTCGTTATTTTTTGCCTTCAAATAACAAAAATGCGGCTGAAATTTGCTACAGATTCAACTGTTTTTTGTGGCTGCTAGTCTGGTCTGGTTAGTTCGGTCGTAACCGAGACCGAACCGAACTAACCGTGACCGAATTTGCTTGGTCCTCGATTTTCAAACTGACCAATCGGTCCTTGGTTTCTGATGACCGAACTTTCAAATTAACCGAGGAACCAATCGGTTTGGTTTGTTCTGACCAAACGTCCAGGGCTATTTACAGCACACATATGAGCAACACAGCCAGGACTGGCACGCGTCACTTGGCGTCACCGTCTTTCCATGATGGTGACGGTGACGTCGTTGACGGTGCAGGTGGAGGACCACTCGCCGTCGGTGGACGCGGAGCGCCGGTCGGTGCAGTAGCCCGGATGCCTGGGCTGCGGGATAACCGCGCCCGGGTTGCCAAGTGCCAGGAACACCGCAACCATGTGCGGCCCGGTCGTCGGGCCGCTCCTGCACACACAGCAGTGCCACCTGCACGCAGCGCAGCACCTCGGAGGTCCGGTACGCGCCAGCGCGGGCCACCGCCTCGTCCAGCAGCGCCAGCACGTTGCCTTCCTCCACAGCCTCCACGCTTGGCTCAGGAGGCTTGCCTGCTCGCTGGTGCTGTACATGCCCCGGTTCTTCCTGCCGCTGACGATCTCCAGCACCAGCACGCCGAAGCTGAACACATCGGACTTCACCAAGAGCACGCCGTCGATGGCGTACTCTGGAGACATGTACCCGCTGCGTGCGCGCATCGCTGTGTCAACAATAGTTAGTTGTACAGGGTATGAGGTTCCCTGCAGCCGCCAACTCCCCATCGACATCCTAACCCTAGTTCAATCGAGAGGGCAGCGCTGACAACGACGGGAAGCATCACTGCCAGCGCCACCGCCCTCACCACTGGATCTACGCCGCCGGGATGAGTACCTCAGCACTTTCACCGGAGCCACTCACCCCGGCGTCGACTTCACCACCGACTCCATGGCTTCATCCGCCTCCAAGCAGGACGGTCAGCCCCTTCTACCCCTCTTCCCCTCTCTTCTTTCTCTCTAGTTCACGTACTAGGATAATCTACTTGTTTATGCCATGATTAGTGAAGTTTCCACCCGCTAGATCTGCTTCTAATGATTCTATATTTCTAACAATGATATCAGTTGAGCCTAACTTAGGCGTAGATCTAGTTTTTGGGTAGAAAAGAATAAGAAATTAGAAGAAGATGAACGAATTTCGATTCGGATCGAAACCCTAACCCTAACCTGAGATAAAAAGTAGACAGGGGGCTTATCTGCCCTCGAGCCACCGCTCAACAACTCCTCGTCGGCGTGCGGGCCACCGCTATTGTGCGTCGCTTCGCCGGCACTCGGGAAGAAGGTCGAGCTGCTGCTCGGCGCACGCGCTCAAGGCACCGACGAGAGGCCGCTCGATGGCGGCGCGCTCTCCCAAAGGGGAGCGCACGCACCGGCGAGGGGGCCCACGGTGGCGCCGTACTCCCCTCCGGTTGCCATGCGCGGCCGCTGTTCCACATCCGCCGCTGCTCCGACGAGGTGAGAGAGAAGGCGAATGGAGAAAATAAAGTTAGGGATTGGGGGAGCTGCGCCGGTCGGGGGGTTTTCTCCCGCCGAGACTCATGCCCTGTCGTCTGATGCAATCAACAACACAGAGAGGCCGGGCCAGATTTGACCCAGGTGGGAAGGCAAATTCCCGGCCTAGGCCAAGGTTGTGGCCTGGGCGTGGGGGTGCATAGTGCGTGTGCGTGAAGTGAGTTGGGCCGTGCACGAGTCAGCGGCTTGATGGGCCACGCGCGCTGTTGCTGCGCCGTGAGCGAACGCGAGATCAGCCACGGGCCACTTGTTCGCTACCGGGCCGAAAGAGGAGAAGTTTTTTGTTTAGTTTTATTATTTCCAGAAGCAATTTCTGATGAATTTTGTGAAGTTTTCAAGTTCAATCTTTGCACAAATTTGAACCAACGGGAGAATTTGTTCAGAGAGTAGTTAAGAACGTAAAGATGCTTCTGAATAATTTTAAGTATAATTTTCATGTTTTCGCTGCAAAGTTGGTGTATATTATCTTCTAATTAAATTCGAACCAATGGGGGGATTTAATTTTGAAGAGTAGTTATAATTTTCAGCAAATTATGATATTGTTATTTTTCTGACCAATGTTGATGATAACAATATTATAAATTTATTCATGAGTTTTTTTATGCATCAATTCTATTTCTGCCCAACAGTGATGTAGAATTAGTGTAGAAGAATGTTGTATGTTTTAATTTTGACCAACGTTAAATTAAGGCATGCAATTATTATGTCACGTTTTCTCACTTTCTCTGATGATGTTTTCATGTTACAACCCAATGACGTTTATCTCGTCCATTCCGCCTCTCAATGGCAGCAACTATAACGTATGGCGAGAGAAGCTTGAGTTAGCACTTGCGCTGTCCGACAATGATCTAGCACTTATCTCTCCATGTCCCACTGAGCTAGTGGACCCGGTGAGGGAAGCAAATGAGACTGATGTAGCTTTCGCTACTCGACAACGTGACCATGTTGAAGTGAGAATGAAGTACGACCTTGATCGTGTGAAGTGGGATAGTTCAAACCGCAAGTGTTTGATGGTGATTAAGGGCTCCATTGAGGATTCAATAAGGGGTTAATCCCAAAATGTACCACCGCCACTGAATATCTCAAGAAGGTGGAGAGTCAATTCACTGGCTCTTCAAAGGCTTATGCAAGCACTCTTATTAAGAAGTTAGTCAATGAGAAATACACTGATGGAGTGATTAGAGAGCACATATTAAAGACGAGCAACATGACATCCAAGCTCAAGCCAATGGACTTGAGGCTCAAGGATGAGTTCCTAATTCATTTGGTTTTTGCTTATTTGCCCAAAGAGTATAAAATCTTTGTTGTTAATTACAACTTACAACCAGATAGGTGGAACATT